ATGGGATCATCCAGAACGCAACTGTCTTAAGTCCTTCTTTCTGCAAGGTCCCATTCACATTATCAACCCTCTGATTGCTGACTCCCAGTTCAGCAACATTTTAGCTTTAAAATTCTAGTCTCTTAAGCATCTCCAGTTTTAATCGCTCCACCATTGGTGGTTGCGTCTTCAATTGCGTGGGCCCTAAACTCTAGAATTCTATCCCTACACCTCTCTACCTCTTTCTTCCATTGATACATTTCTTAAAAGCTACCTTTTATTCAAGCTTTTAAATATCTGAGCTAATATCTCCTCATGTAAACTGGTGTCGCATTCTCTTCTATATTACTCTTGCCTTGTTTCACTTCATTAAAGATGCAACATTAGCGTAAGTTGTTGTTGCTGGGATACATGCAAATAGTTAGCAATTGTGATAACCCAAACACAGTTATCATATAACCACCAGGTTCACAGCGAGAAATAGCAAGCCAAAACTGGGCAGGGGTGGGGAAGAGTCTTTTAAGCCTTATCCCCACTCCCTCCCCTCCCAACTGATGCTTATTACCGATCTGATGTTATATTCAATAGGGCATGTAAATAGGCAAACAGCGTAAATGCTTGAAATTGGTATATGGTCTGTTAAACACGAAAATCAACATTGCTCTCCAACTGACGAATGCCCACTGAAAATCTTGGCTGCAGATGGATGGAACATATGGTGTTTACTCTCCACCTTTTTGAACCAAGTGATGACAGCCTTACCCCATGCTGCACTAAAGCTCTTACAAAGCAAAAGGCTTAAAAAGTATTGAACTTTCATTCACTTGGGCCGAGGAAGAAGCAATAATCGGACTTCCTACATGCCAGACAATTTGTGCATATAATCCTTACTATGATCTCAGCTTGACCTGAATGAACAGCACAAGGAAGGAATTGAACCTGGTAGTTTCTGATCTACAGCACTAAACTTATGAAATTGAGCTGGATGGCCACATATCTAATGGGCAAATTTCTCCATCATCTCGATGGGAAATTGGGACAGATGTCACCTTCTTGAAAAAGAGCATCCTACAAGCTATAGTTGATTACTCCCAAAACTTTCAACTTTTTGCTAAATCATCAAACGATGAGACACAAGAGAACATCTGTCAGATTATTATTGTCATCATGAAAAACAATAAGTATTGGAGCTGTGGCATGGAGCCCAATTGTTGTTCAGAGTTGTTGGGCAGGGAGGATGACAAAGTGTCTGACTCTGACACCAAGACAACAGGTACGTTGGGTCTATGGTGAATGGGGGTAAGGGTTTGGGGGAATGTGGTGTTGTGACAGGGGGAGTAAAGCAGAATCTGATGGTGGTGGGAAAGGATTCAAACTGTGGCAGAGAGATGAAGTTTTTGCAGCCAAATAGGCCTGGAGTTTTGCTTAACTAACTCCCAGCAGTGAGTGGGTCACAAGGGTGGGACCCTTCCACATGCTGTGTGTGTGCGACATATCAATGATTATTTCCCCAGGAGAAAGCCAACATAAGCAATAGCACAGCTCAAAGTCAGGTAAGGAGATAGTCAATGAAGATACAAGGCAAGGACCTTACTATCTGTTCTCCTTTGCACCTAATGGGTTCAAATCTCAAATAACCTCTGAAATGCATATGCTAGTGCAACTGACCAAATAAATTGAGACATTTGCTGCTGACATAGTGTACATGTGCCTCCAAAAAAGTATTCGATACAGTGTCGCACAGCAATCTTGTGAGCAAATAAATTGCTAATGAAATATGAAATTAGTTGAGTGACAGGAAACAGAAGAAAGTGATTGGTGGATTTTTTTTCTAAACTGGAGGAATGTCATTGAAGAGATTCCCCAGAGATCAATGACGAGAACTTCACTCTTCCTGCTTTATATTAATGGACTACAACTTGGTGTAGGACGCAATTTCAAAATTTGCTGACCATACAAAATTTGGAAGCATTGTGAACTTTGAGAATCTTAGAACCTAGAAGAGAAGGGTAATGTGGTACTTTGAAATTGCATGGAATGAGCAGACAAGAAGCAGATAACATTCAGTGCAGAGAAGTGTGAAGTGATTCATTTTGGTGGAAAAAAATACAAGAGACAGAAGATAAAATTCCAAGGGGTTGCAAGAGCAGAGGAATCAAGATGTACATGCTTGCTTGCCTTTAAAGTGATACACCAGGTTGGGAGAGCAATTAATACACTATCTAACATCCTGGGCTTAATTGATAGGGGCATAGAAAACAAAAGCGATGAGGTTAATCTGAACTTGTGTAAAACACTTTTTCAGCCTCAGCTGAAGTATTGTATCTCGTTCTGGATGTCACACTATAAGGATTATGAAGGAATTAGAGAATGGTTCCGATGATTAGGAACTTCAATTATGCAAAAAGCTTGGAGAATTTGGGGCTGTTTTCTTTGAAGAAGTGAAGGCTGAGACGGAATTTAAGCTTAAACTCATCTGGCGTCTGGACAGAATAGACGGGGAAAAGCTGTTTCCACTGGTGGAAAGGCTAAGAATGATAATGGATTGTTTTAAGGTATTTGGCAGAAGAAGAATTGGTGATATGAAGGTCTCTTATAGTAGTTAACTAAAATCTGAAGAGACAAATAACAAGAGCTCATTGAAACATAGGACTTTGGAACAGAAGTCGGCCATTTTGCCCTTCAAGTTGTGGTCAATCTGGTTGTGGCTGTATCTCCCCCTTGTCTTTCCCGTGTAATCTTTAAGTCACTTTTCTATCAAAAATCTATGAAACTCAGCCTTGACCAAATTTAAGAACCCTGTCACCATGCTGTTTTCACATGAAGACTAGTTTGGGGCCGGAATGCCCTGTCTGTGAGTATGGTGGAGAAAGAGTCAATCAAAGCATTCCAGGAAAATTTGAATAATTTTTGAAAAGGAAGAATGCACAGAGTTACAGGGACAAAGTAGAGGAATGGCAAAAGATGCATTATCTATTAGATTGTCAGATAACATTTTCTCTCTTAAAACTGAAACACAACTGGGACGGTAGTTAGATGGACTGCTTTTGCAGGTTCTCCTCCGTGGCTTACAATCAGAAATTGCAAGAGCTCATTACCCTTCCAGTGAAATCCCTTTGTTAGTGAGCATCTGACCTATTCTCAACAAATGTTCATTAATGATGCCCATTAAAATCAAAGGATCAGAAGGCTCCCCCCTCATTTCCCTCCCAGCAAAAAGAACAGTCTAGGGAATGCCAAAGATGGGTTCAAAATGAAATGCAACCTACACTTGTATTTCTCAGACACTTATCAAATTCCTGGAGGAATTCTTGGACCATTAAACACCGTAACTGACAACTGTGACTGTCACAAATGAATATTTCTTTGTTTGGATTGGCACAGTAACATGATGAGATATCCTCTGCAATATTACTCAAGAGGTATACTTTATATCTCTCACTATGTGGATTCAATTTGTTCAATCTAGGAGGCTTCAATTACATAAGAGATCAAAATGAGCACTATTTAATTATGAAAAGGAGGTCATTAGACACAAACACTATGATATACAGTGCCAGTACTACTTAGTAGCATTGAAACAAGAGAGTCACATTGTTCAAAGAATTGGTTGAATTCAGTGCCTGATGATCATGAAGCAGAGGACAGGAAATGTCCATGAATTCCATGCAATGCACCCTTCAGCTCATCTATATTTTCACTTTGTACTTGAGATTCAGAGCAGCATCTTGGAAGTATTGCCATGCAGACGTGGGGGAACACTAGATTAAGGGATGCTGTTTAAGAATGCAAAGTCTTCTTTTTAAGGCAGAAATGCTGAGGATTTATTTTCTCCCTGAGGATCAGAAAGTGTGAACA